GAGCAAACGAAACCAACCAAACCGCACCAGTGCAGCCCTCATCACCAGCACCAACCACCAACACACCCACTAATTACTCCGCTCCTAACCAGCGACCGGATACACGAGAAACATCCGGAACAATCTCCCCGTATCTTGACAGACTGCAGCGGTCAGCTAATGTGGTAGCGGCATCCCCCAATAACTTCGGCTCGACGTTGCGACGTGATGGATGGCAACTGCTATCAACTAAACAACTGCTGTCTGCAGCCGAACACAGATGGTACAAGGCACCGATTTGCGGGCTTCATCATCGCCCTTGCCGCCATCATCTCCCACGCTTACAATAAAAAGAATCCAGGTCAATCATGGGACCCGGACAGCCAAATCCAAAACAACGGCACAATCAGCTGGCCCAGCTGCAGTCGTCGCGGTAACAGAAAATACCGAATAAACCCCCAGCAACCCGCAGGCAAAAGCAGCGGTTGGGAAACAGTGCATTATTTGCGGGCACTTTAAGGCCGGATACAACATGAACCGCCACTTAAACGTAAACACCCCTCATATAGAAAAAGCAATACAAGCGAATTACGAACAAACACTGCAAAATACTATCCCAAAGTCTAGACCCAACTCGCTGAGAGGGCCGCGGAATGCACTGTAGACCCCGGCGAGCGAGGTGTCGAGGGCATCAATTGGAGACGGCTGGGCATGCCAAACCGAGGATGAAGAGGGCGAACCCGCATCCGCATGCATACACGCAACTATGCCGCCCCGGAAAAGATACAAAAAAAAAACAGTTCTTATATGATGTTGTAAACATGAATATATTGTCAGTACATAACGGTCCACTTATTTGTAACTCGGCCTCAGTAAGGACACTTCCTCTTGCCGTGCCGCTCCCGGCTACTTGACAGCGAGTTGGCACCACCAGCCTACCAGCAGCGGCTTCGGCGCTTCGCTCTACGTCACAACACACACAACTGCACATTGCACACCATTACACTTTAAAATAAACTAAACGCAAATCGGAGTCCAGATTCCATCTATCAACACAATGCATGCAATAAAAAAAAATAAAAAAAAAAAAAAAAAAAAAAAAAAAAGAAAAAAAAAAAAAAAAAAATCTTCTTTTAAGATTTTATAGATTCTACCTATTCACTACATATTTACATCTCTTCGTGACATAGTTAATAAAAAAAAAAAAAAAAAAAAAAAAAAAAAAAAAAAAAAAAAAAAAAAAAAAAAAAAAGCTTAAAGCTTTTGATAGTGTTTCGTGATCGGTGTGTTCTCGACTGATAGCTTCAAGCGACATAATATACTAGTTGTTATAATACTGTATATGTACTCCAATAAAAAGCGATTAGTGCACAGGAAATATTTTAATGCATATATATACATACAATCACATAGTTGGAACATACAGACACACACGAGGCCCGTCGCCCGAGAGACGCGAACTAATCTAGAGACATGACACGTTCGCGGTCGCTACCGCCGCCGCTGCTGGATGCCTGGGCCGACGGGACGCGGCCATTGGTGTTTAGTTCGAAAACACAACGAAGTGAAAACGTAACGTACCGATACATTCGTTTGCCGCCTGGTTCGGCTACAGGTAGGGCTTTTACACAAAATTACATTCTATAAGCGATGTTGTCAAGTCCTATAAAACTGCCGAACCGAGTGGATCAATCACAACATGACATCACTAACCGAATGCGACATGTGCACACAGCACGGGCGCGCGTCGCTCGCGCTCAGCGGCAGCGGCATCGACCTCGGCGCCGACACGCGCACGCTATTATAAAGTAAAAACTAAAACAAAAATCGTATACCATAAACATGGAACAGCAATCTCTTTAATGCAGTCAACAAAACCTAGTGAAATATTGTGACATCCAGTCAAAAACACGTAACTAAAACTAAAATAAATAGGATGCGGCTACAGCGAAGGAGTTTCGTCGTTTAGCGAATGCAAGCAATGTGCCGGCACGCCCGGCGACGCGCGACCGCCGCGCGACCGCCGCGCGACCGCCGCACGACCGCCGCGCGACCGCCGCGCGACCGCCGCGCGACCGCCGCGCGACCGCCGCACGACCGCCGCGCGGCCGCCGCTCGCTCCCTCGCTCGTGCGCGCTCAGGTACTATTTATTATTATGACTAAATCTTGCTCCTGCGCCGGTCGAAATGAACCGCGTGTACAATCATACATTGTAAGACAGCACTGCTTCAGTACGGCGCGGGACATCTCGACCCGCTGAATACTGCCGAGGTCCCTTCCGTCCTCTCTGTCCACTGACAAGTTCGTGCGTAGTGAGTGGCACGGTTCCCCGCAAGTTGAATTTTCCTAATAAATACTATAACTAATGTAATGTAAGCAATAAACCCGTCGTTCTACAAGAAACAAATACACTATTCTACGCAAGTAGCATCAAGTGAGGTTCTCTCGTTGCAACGGAGATGCCAATCACAGTGCTGACACTGTGTCGTTTGTGATTATGTGAAATGTGACGTACGTGCTTTTCACACATTCCAATTTCTGGAAAGCCGACAGCGTGTATGTGTGTCAGGAGACAACAATCGCCATTAATGCGATATTTGATGTGAAAACTAAACAAGTACATCGACGAGACTAAACTAGTTGCCTTCATGTTACAAAAGCTATTCAATGACAACAAACTGCCATTATCACCAAACTCTTCCGTAAACACCCTCCGCAATACTGCTATTGTATATTTAGAAACTCCGATTGTGAACTTAGTCCGCATTGTAGGTAATTTAGAGCTAATAAATACAAATGGAAACGTAAAGTATATGCGGGCGCAACGTCTTTTAAAATATACAGCGAAGCCGCCGCCGCGACGGCCCCACCACAACTCGCCATAACATAAACTAGCCACAGAAGCCCGATAGAGTTATTCAGTACACTACTAGTTACATGAAAAATAGAAAATCTCTCTTAGCATATTTACAAAAGCTCGAGCTCAAAACACTGCGAGTGAATGAAGAAAATAATATCATCCTCTCGAATCAACTCGAGCCAGCCGAACTGAGCCACTCGCGCGGTACAGTTACATTACTAAGCGTGTTAAGGTGGAGTTACACCAAACGAGCGGATGTTCGTGCGTCCTGCGTCCTGCGTCCTGCGTCCTGCGTCCTCTAATACGCAGTAGGTAGTATCAGAGGACGGGCGAACTCCACCGTTACATAAATATAATTAGACATTGAATGTACGATGTAGGTGGCTACAGTATTAGGAAAAAGGAAGCATCGTTTTACACTTAGCGGCGTAGTGTGGATTAGTATCGCGATCACAACGAACAAGGAACTGAAGGAAGCAGGAAAACGGCTGCCCTGGATCACGTCAAATTAGAACGGTATCGAGTTACATTCACAACTATTACACAACACAGAGGCGGCCACTAGTAAACACCCTATATACGATTTAAGGCAACTCTTAATACGACAGGCGGCCGCGTGTCCGCGTGTCCGCGTGTCCGCGCGGCCGGCGCCGGTCGGCCAACGGTCGCTCTCTAACTATAATTACAATTTAACAATACAATTGCACAGATGTACAGTACACAACAAAATTCGACCACCAATAATCTAAGAGTTGCGTGATCTTTCGTTGCAGACGATACGTATCCAGACCGGACGCAGTCTCACTACACAGTACACAGTTATACACACACACGCACACACACACACGCATTATCAAGTAATAAAATACACTTAATGCGATTTCTGAAACAGCATTACTTTTTTACATTGGTTATCTTAAAATATTGTTCATTAAACTATATTAAAAAATCGATAGATATACTGTGTGTGTATACATATATATATCTTACTTAGTGATAAATATTTAAAAACAGGTCCTATAAATCTAGAGCATTGCAGATTTTGTAACATTTTGGTATAATTTGATAGTAAAAAAACAATAATAATATAAATTTGATGGACAAAGTTCAGGAAGTGGTAAGGGGCACATTATATACACAGTAAATGTGAATTGGATAATAATATTCCAACTCACAAATGGATCCTGACAAATACCATATAGAAGCGCGTGCTGCTCGTTACTAAAGTAAAGCACGAACCGGACCGTTCGATCGGCGATTGAAGTTATCGCCGGTCGGGAGCGCGGACAAATATATCTACAGCTGCAGTTCCACTTTTATTTCCAAGTAGTAAATGACAGATCCGACATTTTTTATATGCAAAATTGACAGCACTAGACGTCATCATGCTACATTGAAATAAAAGTCGGAGCACAGCATATGACGGCCCGGGACATTACGGTCGCGGCGTGGCCCCGCCCCCTGTTTATTTGCCCCCAGTCCATCACGCACCTGCTACTATTTCAAATTTCCAATATAAAATCATTAATGAATGACTGTTTACACTCTATTAAGTGATAAGTGCGCAGTGACTAGTTACCTCATTTACATGCTAATTTTACAATAGAAACAAATATGGAAACCATCATTCTGTGCAAAAATGTGACGTCAATCGTAAACACACACATAGGTAATGTACGATCTATGTTTCGTATATAGATACGCCACATTGCAAATACTGCGTGTTCACATAAAATATTTTTTTATAGCAACGAGTACTTTTCAAGGTAGTTTCAATTATCACAACATTTAAAAGAGGTCAAGGAGAGAACAAACACTATAGATTACAAAGAGTTGAAGAGTCGATTGGTGACTTTGAAGTACTGGCGACGTAATCTCGGAACACATTCGAACTGAGAACCTCATTCTATTGGAAGCCACACACATACAGCTCACAGCGCTCTCGCATACACTGACCGTTTTTACATACATTTTAGCCTATTTATCACCTGCGCTTGTCACTTTACAAAGTGTAAACGGCCCACTACGAATTCTCGAATGGAGCGGTGACTCTACCGGGTGATCGAAATCGAGAAATCAACTGCTCGTCGCCGGACGAAGAATGTCTCGAATGTCAAAAATGACCTTTTCAAAACGTAGTTAAATAATACCATAACCGCGAGACACGGCTACAAAAAAAAAAGTAGCTTCGCGATCCCCGAGAGCGGTCCGCTGCCGCTTCGATGGCACTATAGGGGCTCGGGCGGCCTAGAGGGCGCTCGGGTACGGGGGCGGGGCGGCGGCCGCCACTCACACGTAGTGGTGGTCGCGCAGCATGGGCTGCGTGTCGGCGTCGGCGTCGGCGTCGGCGTCGTCGGCGGCGGCGGCGTCCGCGTCGGGGTCGGCCCAGTCGCGCGGCCGCGGCGCCAGCAGCCCGCACAGGCGGCACTGGAAGAAGTCCGCGCAGTTGTTGAGCGGCCCGCGCGAGAACGGCGACCGGCCGCCGCGCGCCTGGAAGTGCCGGTAGCGGCCGCGGTTCAGCTGCTCGTTGGTCGTCATGCCCAGGCACACGACCAGGTACAGCTGGCAGCACAGCAGCACGCTCACCCAGAACAGGTGGAAGGCGGCGTTGAGCATGACCCACACGAGCCAGGCGTTGCACTGCGGCCACAGCAGCGCGCTGCCGAGCACGCCGCCGCCGCCGTCGCCCTCGCACTCCGCCAGCAGCCAGTGCGTGCAGCCCCACAGCATCCAGCAGCACATTATCACCAAGCTCGCCAGGAACCCCAGGAAGTACTGGTGGTTGTTGGCACCTGTATACGGCCACATAGCTCATGTTATCTCTCTGCTCATATACGCGGGACGGGAGTTTGAATGCTACGCTAGAGAGCATGGCATGTTCACATTATAGCATAGTCTTGATCAAATTTTTTTTCACCGGGGTCAACAGAGACACGATGCAAGTGAGCAACACCTATAGTGTGGCCACATCATCGTCACTGAGTCCCACCGCTACTTCTCTACCAGTTGAACTGCAAACGGTAGGAAACCTTTAATTGTAGTAAAGGAATTAAAGGGTAAAAAACGAAATTCTCATGCTGTCATTATTTAATTATTCGTAGTTAACGCTAGACGAAGAACGGGATACTAAAGTTATTTAGCTTTATACAACCAACAGAATTGAAATTTACAATCAATTTGTACTGTAAACTAGTTAGGGAGATTTAACAGGGATGGAGCGCCACGTAACCGGCATCGCCGGCATTAAATAGCGAGAGGAGACGGCACTGACCGATGCAGTTGCCGACCCAGGGGCAGTGGTGGTCGAACTTGGCGACGCAGCGGTTGCAGACGGAGCAGTGCTTGGAGCGCAGCGGCCGCCGCACCAGGCACGCCGAGCAGAACCGCGCCGGCTCGAACCCGCCGCGCGACGACTCCGACAGCTCGATTATCGTCTGCGGACAGCGCGCGCCTTACTGCCACTCCGCTTGCGGACTCCATTCTTATAATTATATTACTTCAGATATTCCTCACCCGGCCGCTGGGCGCTGGTCGGGCATGTGCTCAGAGTAATTGGCGGGTTTGATGAGCGCGCAAATTTTATTATAAGCCATTCAGAATGATAAGGGGTCCGATGGATCCCCTGATGGAAGACGGTAGCCATTGCTAGACATGAACAGCATCATGGACGCAACAAAGTATACCATGACACCCTTCATGTGGCCCCATTCCTAGGAACTGAGGTTAACACCTCAGTGTCTCAGTATCCCATAATTTTACTGCCATATCTCACCCCTAATAACTTCTACTTCACATTCACTACTATAATATAGTAATAATATTATACTATCAATAAACCCCATATTTGGAGCCACAGAGAAACTAGCGCGATCCTTTAAAATGGTAGTCCTACTGGATCACACACGCTGTGCTTGGACGTCGCGTCTGTCACCGCACTAGACTAGACTAGTGCACTAGGACGCGGGGAGGCGAGGGGAGTACTGACTCGGAACTTGTCGGCCTTGGAGGCGGTGATGACGCCGGGGTCGCTGCGCCACGAGCGCAGGAAGGTGTACCAGAGCGCGGCCGAGCTCAGCAGGAAGCCCAGCGTGGCCGCGCCGCTCACCGCGCTCCACACGAACACCGCCCACGTTATGTAGAACCATATCTGTGTGCATGTTACATTGCATTACACCACACTGTACACCTCGCCCTCACCTCGCGGCTGTATCACACGCGTGCGTGATGCATACAAGTATCTTGTGGGCGCAGGACTTATTATCCAATATTAAATAGAATAAAAAGATGACACAAGGAAATCAGGTCAGTCAGCGCATCGTGACAAATTCAACAATAATTAAGCACAATAGTTTCCAGAAAACATATGGACCTGGCCTGATAGGGAATACTGCCAGTTATGGGGCTATTATTTCATTCTAATTCACCATTTAATAAATATTTATTAATTTTAAATTTATTATACTTAATATTTAAGAATATTATTTCCTTGAACAAAAATAGCCTATGGTACAATATAGCTATGACCCCACACTAGGCAAAGCCTGTCTCGTGGAAGTATAATTTATTATATTACTTATTATTTATTCATCATATACTTCGCTGCACCTGTTACAGAATTAAGATATGCAGCAAATGATTAATATGAAGTGATGCAAGGATGCCTCGTCACTTGTACACAAGTCTAGAAATCCCTCACCCACTATACCTGTGTATGTATTAAATGATAATGGATATTAAATTCATTCCACTTTATTAATTAGATTGTAAGTAGAATAAAACTTTATCAAAAATTAAATACACTGATAATAAGTTAAATTATTCTGAGTGAGGGCAGTCAGCTGCCAAAGGGCAGTTTGTATTAATATGCTCAGAAAATAGCAGCCATGTCGAGTGGGCATTACAATTGGCATGTAGCTATCTAACATTTGATGTGCAAAATTTAAGTAAATAACAATGGATGTGTAATATTGACCATTAGCCAAGACTTGGATTGTAAACTTACATTGTAATTTAATTATAATAGTACTGTAATGGTAATAATCAATATATATAGATAGGTACAAATAGTGTGGCTCTAGGCACTCACCTTGGTGGCTAAGTATACACTGAGTGGAAATATGTTCTTAAGTTCATCATCAAATAGCAAATTTGAAACAAAGTGAAGAAGTGCAAAAAAACATATAAGAATGAATAGCTTCAATATGTAAAGTGCCTCCATCTCCAGGACTAGCCCGGTCAAGTAGAAGGCCAGGAACGGCATCACCACCACACACCACCACCTGAACTTCTGCAACAACAAAACATTGGTCAACATGCTTGCACCTTCAATTTTACATTTTGTTCCTAACATGTATGTACTGTTATTGTGTGAATGTAAACATATTTATACAAATCATCACACTCGTCACTACACTATATATACATTCAATAAAAAAAAAAAGCAACTCCTAACAAAAATCCTAGTTGTATAGAATAGTCTATGGGCAATAGTTACCACTTTCCATTTTAAGCATTTTGATTAGTTACTTTCTGTAATTCTATAATCCAATTGGAAAAGCAGTTTGAGCTGAGAAAATTAAAAAATTTGATAAACAAAATATTAGGGTACACCAACATATAGATAGATAATTTATTTGCATTACTTACAGCACACAAATTACCACATATACATAAAAACGAGATAACATAAATGATTAAAAAAATACATACATACACATACTACATATCCTCTCATTTGACTAACATCAATTTGACATCATCAACAATGCATGGGGGGTATCATAGCATAACAGTATACTCTGTTATGTCCGTGGTACTGCTCATGTCTATAGGCGACGGTTACCACTTTCCATCAGGTGGGCCATCAGCTTGTTTGCCATTCTAAGTTGTATAAAAAAAACATCAATTCTGGCAGTTACAATACCACCTTTATATTATTTGGAAAAAAAGAATATACATATAATACCTTGTCATATGTTAATCTTCTAAATATATTCCTCTTGTTTGTAGCAAGAGTGTGCTCTTTAATTTTGTCAGACACTTTGGAGCCGACCCAGAGGGAGTCTGCACTGCTCTGGAGCATAGCCAGCGGAGTGACTCCTCTGAGGTTTGGCACATCCAGGCTGGCATCACCGTAGAGAATGAGTGTAGAAATAGCAGTGGTGTTTCTGGCGAGGATGGCCCAGTGCAGCGCAGTATTGCCGTGCGAGCGGTCGGTGGGGCGCGTGGAGGCGCCGAGCGTGAGCAGCAGGCGCGCGGGGTCGACGGCCGCCACCTTCCAGCTCGCCCACATGAGCGGCGTCATGCCCGCCGCGTCGGCCGCGTCCGGCGCCACGCCGCGCGCCACCAGGTACGCCACGACGGCCGTGTGGCCGAACTGCGCCGCCAGGTGCAAGCACGCGCAGCCCTCGGCGTCGCGCAGCGTGGGGTCGGCGCCGGCGCGCACCAGCAGCACCGTGGCCTCGAGGTGGCCCTGGCGTGTCGCCCAGTGTAGCGGCGTCGACTGCAGCTCGCCGCCGATCGCGTCCACGGCCGCGCCTTTTGCCAGTAGGTACTGGATGATCTCGCGCCTGTTGTTGATCGCGGCCCAGTGGAGCAGCGTGACGGTCTCGCGATCCGGCTGATTCACATCCCATCCTGCCTCGACTAGCTCCTTGACGCGTAGGAACGCGCCGTACTGTGTCGCCTTGACGATATCGAACCCGCTGTAATCTCGCTCGAGGGGCGCTGGTGGAGGCTCGCGCGGCGGTGGCCCGTCCCCGTCGGGCTGCGCCTTACCGCACTGCCCGCTGGCGGCGGCTCCGCATGTACTGTCATACATGCTTCTCTTACGCCAGGCCCAGTGATGTAAACATTATTAATATCGCACTATGAGTACAAAAACTATTAAAACGCGATTTCAAACAACAGAATACAATGATAACAGTCTTTACTACATAGAACACAAAATGTTAAATGGAAAAGATCTATGTCTATTTGTTAACTGTCAGTTGTCAAAGTAGTAGCAGTATTAATGTATTACAAATAAGTAAGGCAAAGGAACTATGCCATACAGCCTGATCTTCAGTAAAAATTTGTATATCCATGTTTTAACAAGACCTTGAAAAGTATCTAGGTATTTTATCTAACTACAAAAGTATAGTAGTAATCATAGATGAAGGATCTAATCTATATCAATTTACCTAAGGACATTTGTGTTCTATATAATTACGCAAAGTATTTTGGCATATACTTATTTAATTATTTAATAAGGGAAAAAAGCACCAAATAAAATAAAATATAATAAAATGTGTCTTTGTGCATTAAAAAGGTGTAAAAGTTATAAGACAAAAAATAGAATTAACAAAGAAATTACTTATCATCGGTATTTTAAATATTCACATTTCTTTTAAAAGAGTTCGCGCCTGTTTTTAGTACTCCAAGTACCTAACAAAATCCCCACAATTGAATTAAAATTCCCGAAATGAGGTAATTTTTTTTCAATATAAAGTAAACTATTTTTAATTATTATTTGTATATCTGTCTTATTTCCTTACATAACATTTATGTAGGTATGTACATACAGATATTATTATTATACACACTGTTTTATATTTATTTATTTATTTATTAAACTTTAACATATCTTTACACCTAGATAGTGTAAATGCTCCGCCATTTACATTATCTAGGTGTGGAGTTGAGAAGGAATGGAGTTATTTATTCCCAACCCGTTAGTGAGGGGGAAAGGGATTGTTAGTAATGGAGACTGAGAATCCCATTGCTAGCAATATACCCAACCAGGTCGACCTCCTCGCGGTTCTCCTTGGAAACTATCATGGTTAATTCCTGATGAATTCATCATGATGGGCTAACTGGCCTGTTTTCATTCTCATCTATCATCCTTCACTAGTGCTCCGTCAGAGTATCCCGTTAGCGCAGGTGGGGTTACCATACCATTTTCACCCATAAAAAAAACCCGCTAGTGACAATGAATCAAAAAACATCTCTAAAAGTATTGGGATCCTTGGTGTCAAAATCTCTAGTGATGTACAATTCCGTGGTCTCCACGAAGATAAGGTAAAGCTGGCATCCAAAAAACTCGGTGTGCTTAATAGAGCAAAGCATTACTTCACGCCAGACCAGCGATTAATGCTCTACAAATCGCAAATCCGGCCCCACATGGAGTTTTGCTGTCACTTATGGACGGGAGCACCTAAATAGCAGCTTGAACCCTTCGACACGTTGTAACGATTAGCAATGAGAATTGTCGGTGATCCCAGGTTTACAAGCGATATCGAACCCTTAAGTCTTAAGAGAGATTTTGCCTCATTCTGCGTGTTCTACCGCTTGTACAACGGATTGTGCTCAGAGGAATTGTTCAATATGATGCCCACGGCCACTTTTTACCATCGTACGGTTCGCCATCGACAGGAAGTTCATCCTCATGTCCTACAGCCTAAATAGTTGTGTACAGCGCGGTTTCAGAGACCTTTCCTCCCACGAACACTCAGGTTATGGAATGAGCACCCTGCCGAGATTTTCCTTAAAGACTACAACATGGGGTTCTTCAACAGGGGGATAAAGAGGTTTCTTCAGCGTCGGCAACGCGCGCGTAATACCCCTGGTATTGCAGGTGTTCATAGACTACGATAACCACTTACCATCAGGTGGGCCGTATGCTTGTTTGTCACCTCAGTGGTATAAAAAGAAACCATTGTGCTGAATTCCAGCTAGGGATTGTTATAAAGAATAATTTATCAACTTAATAAAGTATACTTTAATTCTGTACAACGCTTCGTTCCTATTTCATTATAATTACATCCCCACACACTTATAGTGTTAGCGATTGTTTATTGAATTAAAAAAATATTATATATATATAATGGGTGATGATGGATGACGCCTGCGCTATGGGTATACACTGGCGGGGCACCAGTAAATGATAATAGATGAGGATGAAAAAACAGGTCAGTTAGCCCATCGTGATGAATACACTTGAAATTCAGCACGATAGTTTCCAGGGGGGACCACGTGGAGGTCGACCTGGTTGAGCATCTTGTTAGCAATGGGGCCCTTAGTCTTCATTATTAACAATCCCTCCCCCCAGGTAGTCTATTAGCGTTGTTTATTACCTATTAGTACTTTTAGAGATAATCTATTTACTATGAAATTTGGTATATACGTACTATATGAGGTTGAGGACGTAGGCTATTTTTTTATACTGGACACGTGGATGGACGTGTCCAGTATAATGTCGACCGTAGCCAGCAAATTTATTATTTATATTGTGTAAGTAGGCACATACGTACTTACGCGTACAAGTATCGCAAAGAACTCTCGTTCGGTTGCTCGCCGCTCCGCATTGGAAATTAACTTTGTATACAATATACTCCTAACATAGTTCTTAAGATATAGTGCCTGTGCGCGCCTGTGTTTCTATATCTTATGAAAATACTGCTGGTGCCCATCTATTGGAGTCAGCAGCCATTATCGTCGACCGCTGTGCCGGCCTGCCGCTATCCGCCATACATCAGCTACGTGCTGTGCATTTCTATCCCTAAAGGTCCTTCGTATTCATATTATAAAATTTACCGGGAACCAGCCCATTGCTCCCTAATCATTCATGTCATAATTTTTTTTTATAAATATTCTACGTGCACGCCCAAGGTACGTGCGTAGTTTACCTTATAAATAATCCGCCTCTGGCCCCCACACAGTCCTCACTTAAAACCATCGTGGTTATTTTCGGTGTAAATCGGTTTGAAGGGTCCCACCCTTGGGGCAGTGAATTTACAGGGTACACAGGAATAATACCCGAGTCTTCAGAAATGGCAACACATGGGGGGAAACACGGCAGTATAAACAGTATACTCTGTTATGTCCATGGTACTGCTCATGTCCATAGGCGACGGTTACCACTTTCCATCAGGTGGACCGTCACTCCAAGTTGCATAATAAAAGACTGACTAGGCTGCCAACGGATCGGTATGTTTAGAAGGAGAAGGAAAGGTACTTTATCCGTCTGTAACGACGAACAAGATACATAAAATAAAAAGAAATGGTCACAAGAAAGAGATCGAGTCGTAAAGCTTTCAGTTTATTAGTTAAACAAATATCACTTTTATTTACAACCAAAGCGATCACAAATTATAAGGGTAAACTAAACGTAATGACCTAAAACTACTTAACAGATCGAAATATTTACAATAGAATTAACAACTTCTCGTTTCGGCAAACGCTCGGCTCACGAGCGTCAGCGGCGTCGGTCGGCTGCGACGCGCCGGGCGGACGCCGGCCCCGCGAGCGGGCGCGGCGGGCGGCGGGCGGGCGGCGTGCGGGCGGCGGGCGGCGGCGGGAGCGGCGGCGGCGGCGGCGGCGGCGGCGGCGGCGGGCGGCGCGGCCCGTCACGCGGTGGCCAGCGGCTGCGTGACCACGGGCGACCGCCGCCGCGGGGACGCCTCCTCGGCCGCCGCGCCCCCGCCGCCGCCCTCGCCGCCGCCGCCCCCGCCGCCGCCCGCCGTGTCCGTCAGGCGCAGCGCCGTCTCCAAGTCGCGAAGCACCTGAAATGAGAAACAGAGCGACGCTAGTTAGAAATTAGTAAGGAATCATCTTTCTCCCGAGTAATATGTGCAACACTTTATTGCTAATATACGTCATGCAAGTTCAACTAAGACAGATAAGTGGTAAGATAAAATTTTTGTATAATACTAAAAAATGTAGGGGCTTGGATGGGTGCAGGTTCCAGCTTTTTGTCAGTAGTTACTAGGCTGCCGATATATAATGAGATCTTTAATAAAAAAGAAGTACGCAATTTGGCCGCGAGCCCGACACCACCATGCAAAAGTGAACTGTACCAGCAATTTTTAAGAGCTCACTACATTTCCTATGTTTGTAAAAATGCCTCAAAACAAGACCCCGCTCTATTAAATCCACTAGAATGTGGTTGGATTGAATGAAATAATGTTTTTAAATGGTTTCAGGAAGATCGACTTGCATGTTTTGTCAGCGATGTTATCGTGGTTATTCCTGATAATTTTATTATGATATTATATATTCTATTTTAAATGTACTTGGTTCAGTTAACAAATTTAATTTTTATTATTTTCACATAGGCTGATTCGATGGATGATGAGTCACGTGAGGCTTGCAACGATTCTGAAGGCGACACTGACGAACAAAAACAAATAATCCATAAAAGCATGAAATAATAGATATTTGAATTGAATAAAAAAATATTATTCATTTCTGAATATATATTTCGACTGAAACGACAAAAAAATACCAATAAAACCTTCAGTTTTATCTTTGTTATTATAAAACACTTACAACAGTCAACAATATCCGTCCTTTCTTTTTTTCATAGTGTACGCTATTTGTATCCAAATATTTTAGATGTACGAGTGAATACTGTAGATGCTTCGACACGCACCGTATGACTTTGTTTGCCGTCTGCCGAGATGTTACACCCGGAGAAATTGGCTGCCGTGTTAAAACTAAGCTTGTAAAATATAAAATATAAATAATATATATAAAATCGACATCGGTAAAATAGTCTAGAATTTTTTTTTATTTTAAAAAATTCTACCATACGGTTGCCACAGGGCAAATCGTCTGCCATTGCATTACTTTATAGTAATAATTATATATTAATATAACCAAAAAGCAGTTTTGGTAAAATACTTTTGAAGTCGATCTGATTTTTATACCTGTCTTGCCCGAGTGCCGCCATGGTCACCCACTATGGGGTTCTATAGTAGGTATAGGAGGATCAGGTCACAGAGGAAATTTCATTATTGATAGAATACATACAGTCTACCTTTCACTGGCTCTTAGACCATTACGCAAGTACCAAAGACTACAATATACTTTAATTCTCGCTGAATTGAACGACTCGCGTTCTGCTCTAGCTTGTGACTTGGTCGGGCGCGATGAAGCGCGTGCGGCGCTGCGCGTACCTCTGTCTCCTTCTGGTCGAGCAGCGAGAAGCGCCTGTCGAGCGCGGTGAGGTGCGCGAAGGTGAGGTGGAGGTGCGCGTGCAGCCGCAGCAGCGCCAGCTCGCGGAAGTGCGCCGCGTACATGTGCGCCACCACGTGGAACAGCAGCCGCACCACGCGCCGCACCACGCCCTCGAACTGCGCCGGGAACTCGTTCGCTGCGCACCACACACAAACACCACGCGTTCACACACCATGTACATTATACACTGCGGGGCCACCGCACCGGAGACGCAGCCTCCGACAAAGTGAGATATCGATATTTTCACGACAAGACGTGACCACGACGTGGTATGATCCACGTCGAAACGTCGGCAATGGTGAAGCAAGTATGTAGGTACGTACTATTTACCTACAGAAGTCCCGATAGTGTATTTATTTATTTGTAGAAACACTAACAGCATATTGCATTATAACACATATAATACAATATTAATGCACATGCCTTTTAAAGGTATTCACGGCATTTGCTTTAACATAATTATACAGTATGAAATGAAGTAAACGATTTTAAGGAATTAGATAATACTAGACTACAAATATTTTAAAAGTTACGTTATTAGTTATAGAAATATACTGTAAACTGAGTTGTAAGTGATATCAGTAAATACGATTATGAGTGAATTAACAAATATTAAAATACAAAGTGCCATTTATTCCTGTAGGAATTCGAACTTCCCAGAGGGAGACTTTATCCAAAAGTCGATTGCTTGGGTACCTCTGTCCCATTCGTGTTTCTACCGTGAAGCAGTTGTGTTTGCATGGCTGTGTTTCGGTTTAAATGGTGGGATATGGCGTGAATTTACAGGGTACAAAGGAATAACAGTTACTGTCGGTTTACCACTTTCCATCAGGTGGGCCGACAGCTTGTTTGCCATTCTAAGTCGTATAAAAAAAATATTAATTTCAGGTAATTAGATTAATTTCATTGTACAATGTACAAATCCTGGCCACAAGTGGATGCAGTCCTAGGTTTGTTCTGCAGCGCGGTAAGCTAAATGCTCTAGTTATAGGGTGTCGAGGATAATTTAGAGGTACCGTTAATTGGATTGAACTCAGTAAATCCGCACAATGAATTTTATGAATAAACATTAAATCTGCAATCATACGACGCGTCTTAAGAGAGATAATGTGAAAGAAAGATAAGATGAAGACTGGATTCCAGGAAATAGAGACAAACTCCAATCGACTATGTACCAAACTGTTATAAAGAATTAATATAGTTTGTTTGAATTTAAAGCCTTTTAAAGAACGTTTAAGGAAACCATGGATTTGTGCTACCTGTCACAATATTATTTATGTGTACATTAAATTTAAGTTAACTATCAAGCATTAATCCAAGATCTTGAATTTCATTAGAAGCTACCAGGTTGTCATCATTTAAGTAATAACGTCATTCTATCGGTTTAACTTTACGAATAAAACGGATGTACGAACTATTATTTATGTTTACTACTTAGAGCACACCATTATTTAATACTATCTAAATCTTTTTGCAGAAATTCTGCATCGTGTATGGATATTATTGTTCGATAAATTTTTAAATCATCGGCGAAAACAGATATTTTACTCTATTTTATACGTAATGTACATTAATAAATATAAAAAAGAGAATAGGATCCATATGCGATCCTTGTGGTACGCCTGATTCTGTATAGTACTGTTTGGACTGAAATCCATTAAGAACTACTTTCTGAGACCTTTGAAGTAGGTATAACTTGAACCAACTGAGTAGATAACCTTTTATTCCAAAAAAACAGCCAATTTCTTAGCCACACAACATGATTTACTTTATCGAAGGCATTGCTAAAGTCGGTGTAGATTGTGTTAACTTTTTCACCATTATCTATTTAGCGAGCTATATCAGACACTACTGAAACCAAATTAGTTTCCACCGTGTTGAAATTCTGTCAAATAATCTTTAATGTGGGTGAATATGTATGGATATAGAAGTGACTCGAATAATTTGGATAAACATGATAATATAGATGTAGGCCTATAGTTTTTAACATCCTTTTGATCATGATTTTTAAACATTGGCAAGATTCAGTAGGGAATACAGCATCTTGTAAAGACCGATTAAATATTATTGTTAGTGGTAGTGTAATGGCAGTTCTATTTAAAATATATGTAACCAACGCGAAAGTTTAACTATTGTACCATCTATACATCATCATATGAAATAATGCAGAGACAAAGATGTGCTTGAATGATGAATAGATAGCGTTTATCTCAATGTAGCACAATTTAGCTTCCGGCTGCAACACGAATACATAGTCGGTGATGGCATATAATTACGCACACTATCATTAAACGTATTAAACTACATATTAAAAACTATGTCAATAAACTTCGAGTACTGTAAATTGTTCGTTGGTGTACGTACTGTATAATTAATGATGCTATATACATTTTAGACGGGACTAACTATAGAAGACATCAGATTAAAATTTTTGGAATAGGCATGGTATTGAAAACTAAAAGTAAAGTAAACTATCTCTTGAGTTTAATTAAACAAACACACAAGTGTTTGCCACCATGCTTACTAATATTATAAATGTAATATGAGTGAGTTTATTTTTTTGTTACTTCTTAACGCCTTAAGTACTTAACCGATCAGTATGAAATTAGTATACAGGTATTATATGGGGAGGAGATATGTACAGACTATTTTTTACCCAGTTATTGAACATATCCTGAGTATAAACAATTTGTAGCATAAAATACACTACACCTGCTCTATACAATGTACACCATTATTATTTTAGTAATAAAGAGACAACTAGTGCTCGTACTCACCGTATTTAGTAGGGAACACTGTTTCATCGTTGATGGTCTTCTGTGTGTGCGTCATAACGTAGTCGACGTACTGGGGTGCCGCGACGCGCGACTTCTTGCCGCGCTCGTCGTACCAGGCATAGGTGCGGCCGCCGGGGCCGGACATGTCGGGACAGGACGCCGCCGTGCAGAACTCCGACACGGTGCCGTACAACAGGTTCACGTGGTCGAACAGCGCCAGCGCTGCAACCCACACCACACACGCTTACATGAAATGGAAGCCCGGAAAACAGCACATAGCTTAATAGCTATAGCTGTAGCATGACCCGATTGTGTAAGTGCAAGTTTTTCAAAAGTCTTCTCATAACTAATAGTATATCACAAGCCAGCGAAGAGCAGCATGTTTATCGCTTCAGTTGGAGCTTTGGCAGAAATGCAGAATCTGAGAGGTTTGTACAAAACATAAGGGTATCTGTGCTATAAACGATTGAGGAGTACCCTCGACCGTACCTTTTCTGTCTTCGTCACCAGGTCAACTTTAAATCTCTGTCATGTTGTAGTGTCATTAGAAATTCATAGCAAAACCCTTCAATTGGGGGAGGCGTATGTTCAAAAGTCTAGTTCAAGAGTTAACGACTGATATGATGAGCATGTTAATGTATAACTAATGATTATATATGTAATGTGCAGCACCCTCACAGGCTTTATGTAGAGAACAATTCATTAATGTACTTGACAACATTATAACTTCATGATGCATTAATAAATAATTAGCCAATTGGCACTAACAAATACAAAATTGTTCGTACTCTTTTTGGTATTTACTGTATTATAAATTTTTAGTGACATGTTGGTAGGACTAGCCTATCTCTATAACGCAAATTATCCTAGCTGCTTTTAATTTGACTATAAAATTCTGGGTGAGTTCTTAAAATTTACATATTTCCTGTATAAGTTTAAAAATATACAAATGTTTTTTTTTTTGTGTTTAATAAAAATCGGTAAAAAAACTTTTAAGTTAAACGGTTTTATTTTATGTGCACTGAAAACTACAAAATAAATAAATAGTTACTTACCTATCAACCTACGTAGGTGATCTCGGTCATTAATATCTCTGATGGTAGTGGTTGTCATAACATGAACCATGTCAGCGGCCGAAAGGCAGTTCATGAGAGAACACTAACACCAGGGTTTGCTTGGTAGGTAAACTAAGCAGCCCGCACTATAACAAGTAGGTATTTTGACCTTCTAGTTCAGAAATATTTTAGTACTAGGCAGAATAGCTTTTAGGCATATTAGACTAAAATAAAAACGTGGGGCCCATTAACTATTTCTGTATTACTTTCTACTATACTAAGTGTGGATTGCATCGACTTATTATAATCGTCATCATCATCATCCTAGCGGTTTATCCCGGTCGCATCCGAAACCTCATAGCTCCGGAGTCCAGGGTCCGCTGAATCGACTTACTATAATCGTAACTGGAGGTTTTGACCATCAATAACCAGCCGTTACGGCTTCACCAGCGAACGCCGAGCTCATGATCTACCAAAGTATAAGATATGCTCTGCTATAGGTATGATTTCAGAGGGGTCCCACGTTTTTATTTTAGTCTAATATGCCTAAAAGCTATTCTGCCTAGTACTAAAATATTTCTGAACTAGAAGGTCAAAATACCTACTTGTTATAGTGCGGGCTGCTTAGTTTACCTACCAAGCAAACCCTGGTGTTAGTGTTCTCTCATGAACTGCCTTTCGGCCGCTGACATGGTTCATGTTATGACAACCACTACCATCAGAGATATTAATGACCGAGATCACCTACGTAGGTTGATAGGTAAGTAACTATTTATTTATTTTGTAGTTTTCAGTGCACATAAAATAAAACCGTTTAACTTAAAAGTTTTTTTACCGATTTTTATTTTCTTGTTTTTAGTATTTAGTGAAATTGTTTACCGAATATCCTCATTTTATTTAATTCATTCAGTGCATCATTATTACATGGTTTCTTACCTGATAATTTAGTACAATCTAATTCCTCAATACATAGCCCTTCCAGAGACTTGACTCGACTTAGAGCCACGTATGCTTGTCCTTCCTCAAACCATTTTGAGCCCAAATATACTACTGCATGGTCGACGGTGCTGCCCTGCATTTTATGGACGGTGAATGCTCATGACAAAACTAAGGGCAACATCCTTTTTTCAGCCGTACCATAATTGAATTTTGCTGGAAACTGTATGGCTTTAGGGTAAATAACGTGCATGCCGTCTGTGCCAAAGTCAATTAAAACTGATGATATATCTGTTTCGTACATTTGGGTTCGACGGAACTGAGGCCAAAAAATTTCTGTAATGTGGCCTATAGCGTCATTTACCAATCCTTTTGTAACGTCAATGTTGGACTGCAACATTACTTTTGCACCTACAAATATTTCAAGTACTGATGGTAAGCCTCCAGTCTTATTTATATTTGTTGGTATTTTTTGTTTATTGTTACCATGTTGTTCCCACGATTAAGGGGCATTTTGACGGTCGACCCCCCCCCCCCCCCCCCCCCCGCAGTCCAGTAAAGGGGCAAGGCTTAATATACAACAAGATGCGCCCAATCTTGAGGGGGAAGCGCTTACGACATTACATTTTTATCCACCCTAATGCCATACAGTCCTCGGCACGTTTTAACCTATTACCTTAACTTGGGTGGTATAACTACCGCTTACTAACGAGGTATCTAATTACCTATTTTTTTTTATCTGGCGTCTAACCCCTCTAACGTCACACAATCTTAGACGCAACTGTTCTCGATACGACGAATCATGCCCCCACCTAATACGCCATTTTGTAACAGCGTCCATCTTGAATTTGAAATTTTGACATAATGACAGTATTCTGTAGTGTAGTCCTATTATTTGATACCCATATTGTGGTGGTTGTGGAAAAATATGTACCTAGTCCGCCATATTGGAACGGCGTCCATCTTGAATTTTAAATTTTGACATAATCATCGTGTTTTACTAGTGTAGCCCTTTCATTTGATACCCATATTGCGGGGGTTGAGGAAAAATATGTAATCCGCCATTTTGTATCGGCGGCCATCTTAGATTTATAATGTTATTGATTTTATTATATTGTATTGTCATCTAAATTAAATGTGTGTACCAAATTTCAGATCAATCTGACAACGGGAAGGTGCTTAAATTCCAATTTCTAATTTTGACCCAAATAAATAAATACCGTACACAGGTCGAGCTAAATAAAACCGTTTAAAAATACGGTTTGCAACTTTATTTTTGCTTTATATTTATCAATATTCTAATACATTTGTTTTTAATTATTATGAAACATTAATATGTCAAAACCAATAATAATAATAACTGTTTTTATAATTGAATAATAAATTACATTTAGTTAGATGTACTAGCCACCGAACTAGACCGAGCCCGTATCTCAGTTGACAGTTAAATAACTACCTTTGGCTTAAATTATTTACAAAAGTAGTTTCTTTTATATATTTTTGTACATTTCTTTTGTAGTATAAAAAGGTCATTGACGTTTGCACTATTTCCCCATATTATTATTCCATGACTAAGAATGCACATAAGCATAATATTATGGTTATGCGCATATAGCCGTTTTTAACTCGTAAAATGCATATGTAAATTTAGAAAATTTTCCAGCTACTTTGTCTACTTGCATTTTCTGATTAATATTTGTGTCAATTTCAATTCCTAATAGTGTGCAAGAATTTATGGATTATATTACTTTTCTTCATTTTTTTTCAGCCGTTAACTGTCCATTCCTGAACATAAGCCTTTACCATAAGAGGATAAACTCCTCCTCGCCAATAGCTGCTTGACAGGCGGGTTGGCAACCGCACTTAGACTTTTAGAGATTTTAAGAGAGACACTGCTGCCCTGCTGATTAAGTCCCTTTAGTCGGCTCTTACGACACCCACAGGAAAGGAAGGAGTGACCTAGTCTACGCCGGGACCTATTTTTTCAAATTAAAGCTTGATATTTATTGTTTTATTTTTTCCATAAGGTCTAATTCCATTATTGTTGATTTAGTCAATTCATATAATCAAGATCAAGTTTACTGTACCTATTTTATATAATCGAGATCGACCTTCATTTACAGGTAAGTTTGTTTAGTCTTTCAAGTATGTTTACATGCCACAAAACTACAAATACTTATTATAGGATTCCTACTAGCTTTTCCCCACAACTTCGTATGCGTATATTTTACAAGTATGTGATCATTTCTATCAAGATTAAACATATAAACCACATTTTAAGTTGGACCTTCAGAAATATAACTGTAAAAACCGCATTTAATTTGGTACAATCGTTTTTGCGTGAACCTGAACTAATGAAAATTATTGTTTTGGATTCTATTGCTCCTATTAAGTCCCCCCCCCCCTGCATTTTTTCTTAAATATCTCCTTTGTACACACATCGTGTACTTATAATACTATTATACAGTAAAGATAAAATTTGCAATTGGTAACACTTGAGAATGCTAAGGGCACTGTCATCATAGCATTCATGATTTTAATGTAGACTTTAATAATTGTAATTGTAACACAACCCTACCAACTCTAAGAAACCTCAGTAACTTTATCCTTTGGAAAAGAGCACTACAACAGTCCAATTCGTTTAACTATTCGATTCCAATAGGCATAGATTCATTTTCAGTTGGGTAGCCAAAGTTTTCGAATAAGGAATACCGCTTTGTCTAACATTCCATTTCTGATTTTTGATGCACCGTGTAAATAACTTATAAATAATGGGGGTGGGGTGCCCCTTAATGGTACACGAGGTGAGGAGCGACGTATCTTATAAATACGTGCCGACGTCTACTCAGGTACCCCAAGTACTGATAGTAGACCAGCAATATTGTACTAACTGTGTGAGGCGAGCCACTCGTTGTAGTCGAGCCCGTGCGGCAGGTCGACGAGCTGGCGCATGTCCAGCTCCGGCAGCTTGCGTTCCAGCAGCGCCTCCTGCAGGTACAGCTTAGGGTCCCCGGGAGGCTCGCCTTCGCGCTCCTTGCGCCGCGCCTTCCTGGAACGTCACAAACAAGCTGTCACTACGTGGACAACACTGTCGTCGAGCTTATTTTAAATAGTATGACAATTGGAACAGCTGTTGCGTGTTGTTATTAATATTTAAATATTTTTTTTTTTTTTACAACACAGGGGGCAAACGAGCATGCGACTCACCTGATGGTAAGTGACTACCGCCGCCCATGATCACCCACAACACCAGCTGCATTGCAGGTGTGCTGCCGGCCTTTTAAAAAGGAATATACTCTTTTCTTGAAGGTTATGTTGTCGTATCGGTTCGGAAATACTGCTGCTGGAAGTTGATTCCAAAGAATGGTTGTGCGTGGAAGAAAGTGCCTTGAAAAACGCACGGTGGAAGACCGCCACTCGTCCAGATGATTGGGATGAAACTTTAGTTTGTGGCGGGTTGTACGGTGGTGAAAATCAGCAGCAGGTATCAATCCGAACAATTCCTCAGAACACTCCCCATGATAAATTCGGTAGAAGATGCACAGAGACGCAACATCTCTGCGCAGTTTCAATGGGTCAAGTCGGACAGTAAGGCGTTGACTATCGATAATTCGAGCCGCCCGACTTTGAATGCGGTCTAACGGAAGGAGTTGGTACTGTGGCGCTCCTGCCCACAGGTGAGAACAGTATTCCATATGCGGCCTGACTTGGGCTTTATATAATTTCAGGCGGTGTTCTGGCATGAAATATCGTCTCACCCTATTGAGCACTCCTAACTTTTTGGAAGCTATCTTAGCCTTCTCCTCCAGATGACCGCAAAACTGGACGTCGCAAGATATATCAACGCCCAGAATTCCTAGACTTGACTTTTTATCAAGGGAAGTGCCCTGAAAGTGAGGAGATACGACAAACGGCGTCTTTTTTGCGGTAAACGCGCAGACTTGTGTCTTTTTGGGGTTAAATTGGACAAGATTTTGTTCACCCCAGATTGAAACTTGATGGAGTGAAGTTTCGATTTCAGACACAAGTCTATTCCGGCACTCATCGGTATGTGCCCGCGAGATCTTTGCATGACCGGTATATAATGTATCTCCTGTACTGTCGTCCGCATAGCAATGAATATTACTTATCTGTAACATATCATTGATATGCAGAAGAAACAGAGTCGGAGATAGTACACAGCCTTGCGGGACACCAGCATTCAAAGGTTTTAAATCAGAGCATGCACCGTCGACTACGACCTTAATGCTACGTTCCTTGAGAAAACTGGCGACCCAAATGCACAGTCTCGCAGGCAACCCAAATGAAGGTAGCTTTGAAAGCAGCGCTCTATGCCACACCCGATCAAAGGCCTTCGCAATATCCAGACTAACTGCTAAGGCCTCTCCCTTACTCTCGATTGCCACTGCCCATCGGTGTGTTAAGTAAGCTAAAAGATCACCGGCCGAACGTCCCTGTCGAAAGCCATACTGGCGATCACAGATCAGCCGGTGCTCTTCTAGGTACCGGAGCAGTTGACGGTTAATGATGGATTCCATAACCTTCGAGAATAAGGAAGTGATAGCTATGGGCCTATAGTTAGCTGGATCTGAGCGATCTCCCTTTTTAGGGATCGGATGCACCAGAGCAGTCTTCCAAAACTTTGGGACTATGCCCGATGAGTAGCTAAGCCGAAAAAGACGCGTAAGAACCGGAGCCAACTCTGGTGCGCACGTCCTAAGCACAATTGGAGGAATACCATCTAAGAATGAAGCATCTGATTGTGGCAAAACCAATTTGACTTTAAATCTTACTGTGAGTCGCATGCTCATTTGCCACCTGTATTATAAAAAATAACTACTAAACCGATTTTGATCAAATTTCTATAGGACCAATCTGTAAGTACCGATATCCCAAACAAATCGTTTTATAATTGACGTAGTTATGAAATAACAATTATAAAAAATACAATCGAAGTGAGAACCTCCTTTTTTTAAGTCGGTTGATGATAAGTGTATAGGACATTATACAATATGATCGTCGAAAGAGAGCGGCGTACACGCTGAGCGAGTATACAAGGCCACCAGTGGGTCGTAGCCAGCGATCGACTGACCGTGAATTGTGGCCAATGTATCGTTTTTACCGTGACGTGGAAGATACACAGCTACCTACTATCTGTAGACAATACCAGGTAATGATGGTAAAACCACATCCAATCAACATCACCATCACCTGTTACAAGTTTGTACTTTCAACAAAATTCTGCGCTACTTGGCCCGATATTTTATCAAATAATAATAAACTTTTGCAGTCGTTACATTAAGCAATGAACCTACGAGTACTTTGTTCATATTTGAGATCTTAACGCTGTACGTGATGCCTGCCCACATCGTGCGCACGTCTCACCGTCACTGGTCTACACTGGATACATTTTAGACTCCTAACCTCATTTGTCTATGTCGTCGTCGCAAATAAAATGGTGATGGTAAACATATTCTAAAGACAAGTATAATAAAATAAGATGGTAATTTTCGGGTGAATCTCAGCATCAGTGTGATGTCACGCGCACGTTGATCTCTCTGTCTGCATCCCCTTCCTACATCCCTTACTACAAGCAGAAGTTTTCAAATTTGTTTTGGAGCGATCTTTCGAATGGCGCTCATCACAACTGTTGCTGTTTAAAAATTAAAAAAGAAATTAAAAAGGACATTGATATGGCAACATATGAAAATAAGTAATTAATTGTATATTCACTGAAGTAATTACACGTACTTTTAGCAATAGACGCATGATCTACAACAAAAATTGTAGAAGACCCATCCTTAGCTCTGAATTGGTTCGAGAAAAGTAATTCTGTTAGTTCTAGATTGCTCCTTTTATTGGCTCTTTTACGTGTACTACAACTAAATCAAATAAAATATATCTATTTCAGTTCCTGCGCTTTTATCGCGATATAACGTTGATGCCACTATCTATACTCAAGTACCGAGGGGTTCAGATAAAGGTGTAATGACGACGTCGGGTGTGCATGTCACAAGGAAACAGGCTGCTTATGACGGTGGTGAAGTGTGCTGTCGCAGGGCCGTGCTGTGCCGTGCTGCGGGCCGTCGCACCGCGGAATGTCCGTGACCGCAATAATTAATGCACCGGTCCTCCCTATAAGTATGATTCATGTGGGACATTGACCTGGTGTTCAAATGTGAATTTAATTTTGATCTACTGTTCTATTGTTTAGTATGTAGTGCCTTCATATTTTTAACTGCATGAAGTACCTACTAAAAAGAGCGTAAAGGTTTTTCTCGGGGTTTGCAATACACTTGTGATACACACTTGAACCCTAAAAAAATTACGCTCCTGGGGGGAAAGGATCGACAGGAATGGAATCTAGGCGACCCGTTGCTAGCAATATACCTTGTTTCATCGACCTCCTCGCGGTCCACCCTGGAAACCTTCGTGCTTCTTTCCAAGTGAAATACAACACAATGGGCTAATCGAATTTTTTTTTTTCAATATCGCTAATCATTCCTCACCAATGGTACTCCGCCAGTGTATAGAAAACGCAGGCGGAGTTAACATTTCATCATCAAATATAAAAAAAAACAATACGCTCCTTATTGGACAGTCGTGTGAGTACCAACCTGCTAATACGGATGTCTGTATGTTACGGTAATCGTTTACCACTAAACGAACGTATTGCTCCATTATCACCGTTATTCAATATAATTTTTAAATGGAACAAAAAATCTATTACATGAGTAATAGGTATGGTAAAGGGTGTAACAAAAGTTATTTCCTGGCTTATAATCTAAATGAACAGATAAGATAGAAAATGGTTCCATTCGTCAAACATAACAAACCGACCAAAGTGATAATATATGTTCACAGGTAAGTTTCCATTAAAAAAAAATCCCAAAAATTATAGGTCCAAGATATTAGTACGTATGGCAAGGGAGTGGGGAGCGGTGCTCACCTGAATGCGACCGCCGAGTAGATGTACGACGGCAACGAAAACAGAACACCGAGCACTACAGCGTGACACATCCCGATGACGACTGGCCGCCGGCCGCCCGTCATAGTCACCTCGGTTCGCAGTCGCAACGCAGCGCAACGCGGCACAACGTACAATGAATCGCTTTTCGCTCACCAACAGATACAAAATATGAGTCTGTCTCTTTCATTCTCACAAACACAACCGCGAGCGTGCTACTTATCGCCTACGCGATATTTTTATAGAGTGGTGACCAACTAAATCGAACGCAACGCAACCCAATTCGATTATTAATATAACGCGACTCGTAGTGCAGATTATGCCGTTTATCAATTCCTAGAAGCGCTAGAATAGTGTCGTCACTCCACAGCTGCACATGTTCGTTAGCAGATAGTTTTATAAACAACCTCTCATAAAACAAACTCAATGTGTTGACGACGATTATGCAACGGCAGCATATTACCAACCGATGGCCGACGCGACGATACCAGTTTTCAAAGCTGCATTGCGCACTAACAAATAAACGATTCGTGAAGTTCAAGGTTTTTAGGAACCGTACCCCGTAGATAAAGACTTTTAAATCACTTCACAATAAAATTAAGCATATATGGGTTTACCTGTTAGCACACTTAGTAGTGGTAACTATTCTTCTCACACTGAGAAAAAATCGAATAGTTAATTACTTTGGTTCTAATGAATTAGTACTTTAAATTAATCAATGATTGGGTTTTTCTAAAGGGCGATCAATTAAGGATGCAGGTGCGTAGTTACTCGACACACTTTTGCTGCCTGACAAAATAAAATGGAAGCGGTTGGCCTTTTTGTGACCTATTTGAGTAGACTTTTGACTGTGTAGATCACGATACATTGCTTAAAGTTTTAGTGATATCAAAGACAATGTTTTAAACTGCATCAAGTCATCTATAGGTAGAGTTGTAAAATATGAAGCAAATTAAGTTGTACAATGTATTGTATATGCAAGGTCAGACAGTGTACTAATGCTGACATTACAAGATTAGTTTATTTTCAGTTATTTTCGTAGTATATTGTCGTATGGAGATTTATTATGGGGTAAACCAGGT